TCTTTGGGATTGTTCGCCTCGGCCACGCCTCCCCCGTGCACCATGCACCTTGGACACGCCCCCCTGTCTTCAGCCCCGTTTTCCTGCATGACGTTTGCCCAGTGTTCCCCCACTTCGTCGGATTGTGTCGTCCGCATAGGGTCCGGAAAGAACTGTTCGTTACACTCCCCCTGTTTGCCGTCCCCTTCCATTCCTCTCCTAACCGTGTTTTCTCTTTTCCAGTCACTTCCAGATTATACCGTCTGCACAGGGTCCTGAACTACGCATCATGACACAGATTCACAAAAGCAAACTAGAACCACAGTATGCATGTTATTCTACACATAGTACTGCGTACACATATACAGCAACCTAAAAATAAACATATGGTGACAAAAAAATAAACTTTCATGTCAAGGACAATACCAGGAACCTGTGCAGATTTCCCAGGTGATGGGAACACATGCAAAACATTTCTTTCTAAAACTCAGTTCATATTTGTCCCTCTCTTGTAATGCTTTTGCTTTTGCACTATAACTAAAATGCATTTTTTTTCATCTACTGTATAATCTTGACTTTATGCAGTTGTATGTATTTTTAGTTGTTCTGCGGTGATCTCCTACACAGCATCGGAGAAGGACTGTTGACAAGCATTTCTGCAGGCAGGAATACACATATGACAGTAACTATGTAAGTTTACATACAAAGAGCAAAAAAGCTTTTCCCAATGGCAAATATGCAAAGCAGGATTCTTCCATTGGAACAGTATTTAGAATCATAGCAGCATCAGTCAGTAGTGGACGCATTGAATGGAAACACTTCAACACGTTCTTTACTGGTGCGTGTCACTTCAAACTTAATGTCTTATTTCTAGAAACCTTGAGGCACCTCAAAGTGGAACTGCTGTACATAATGTCAAAACATCGCAGACATTGTCTCTGTATGTATGACATGTACTTGCCTTTTAACTGACTATGAGTACCATTCACCTGGTATTTACGTAGAGTACACCTTTCCTCTTGTTAGCTGTAAATTCTATCTTTTAGTACTGTTTGGTTTCTGATCTTATTATATATAAACATTGCTTCCTTAAGCATACATAGACAAATGTACTGATAGCGTTGCTATATACTTTTATTTAAGAAAGAACCATTAAGGTTTATGTTTTATATGTTAGTGCATGAGAGAATACAAGCAGTACATGTTGAACCACACAGCGCACTAGAGGGATCACCAGTGCCATCTAGTGGCAAACAATGTAACAGCAAGGGCACTGTCAGGGTGATTTTCACTGCACATGAGCTGGAAAGTTGAAAGTATTTAAAGGTTGCAATGCTCCATAGTTTACTAAACAGTAATTACAGATAAATATTTATGGTTTTGTTTTATTTAAAAATAATAGTTGTGTAAGGTGGCAAAATCTGCTATTACCCTAAATACACTGGTGCATGTTCTAGAGAGGACTGGATTGCAACCTCATTCAAAATGTTCTCCATAGTTGCGCGGCAATTATGACAAATTAGCTTGCACTGCATGAACACAATTGATCACTGAACACTGTAGATCCTGTCAGAAGAATGCAATCTGACCTGCTCCTGTGTTTCGGCTGGTGCCTATCTGTGTGGGTTTGAGCAGGGAAACCTCTCTGCTCACACATGCCATACAGATTAGCTGACCTGGCTGAGCAGAGTGAAAGTAATATATTCAGTTCTGAATATATTCAGTTCTGCATATACACCTAGTCCGTCTAAGACTGTAAGCACATGCAAAAGACACTTACAAAGTATATCCTTAAAATTATGAAGAAATTAAAGGTGGGAATGCGTGCTGTACAAGCTTGTGCTATATCACATAGTATGCAAAATGTCATATGGTGTTCTTGTTTTCATGACTTTTGCATGATGCAAAACTTTTCTGTTTCCTGTGTGAATTTCCAGCTAAGAAGCAAAGTCATCACCAATGTTCACCCACCAGAAGGAAATTAACTCACAATATTTATGCATCCTGCCTCATCATATTTTCTTGATATTTCTTGATATTGTTCCGCCTCTCAGTGCTGCAAGTTTCAAAGGCAGTGCTGTAACTTTTTTTTTTCTTCAGCAATTTCTGGCAGTGTGGTAGGAAACTCTGGGATGATTTTTATTTGGCCCTGGAGTGGTTTCATGATTACCTGAATTCCATCGGGGTGTGGAATTAAGGTTTAAACGCAGGTGACAACTGCACTGAGTTAAATTGCCCTCAGGAACACATTCTGCCTACTCTTACATGACATCCTTGTTTGTGAGAAGATTTTTCAAAGATTGAATTCATGTGAATTCATGTATCAGTCCCTGAAGTGTGCCGTATACTTGAGATCCCCATACAAATAACTGCCTTTTTTTTTTCCTTTACGAAATCTGTGATTATGTTTTTGGTAACTACAGTATGTATAAAACAGTGTTAGAAGCAATTTATATGCCATTCATTTGTTCATCCATTTTCTTCCAATTCGGTGTTGTGGGTGGGTGCCAGAGTTTATCCCTGCAAGCAACGAGCGCAAGGCAGGTAACACCCTGGACAGGACACCAGGCCATCGCAGGGCAGATAAACACAGGCACACACACTCACACCAGGGGCGATTTTGCCAGAAGCCTATTAACCTACCAGAATGTTTTTGGACTGTGGGAGGAGAACCCAAAACACCTGGAGGATAACAAGGTGAACATTAGAAGAACATACAGACTCCACGCAGACAGCACCCAAGGTACAGAATCAAACCCAGGAACCCAGCGCTGAAAGGTAGAAACTCTCTGTGGCCATGTCACCTCTTTCATATACAGTAACAATATCGGAAAAATATTGCTACTTAAAACCTGCCAGGCACGAACAATAATATCAGAAAAGTAAAGGTGCTGATGTTTTTCCAAGCCTAGCTTACATTATCTCCTGAATGGTTTAATATGCTGAAAGGTATATTCAACTATCCATTAAAATGAAAATATTTGATTCAGGGCTTAGATAAACAAGAAACCATTTACAAAAACACACTTTGTAAAAACAATAACAATACAACCTCATCCTCCTGTTTTCCATTTTGGGTTTTATTACCTAATATAATAAGTATGTTTACAAAGTTTTATATGACATGGCTTTGGCTTTGGCAAATATCCTTTCAGTAATGTATTGCTATGTTATTTCAACATTGTCTAACACATTTGCAAAGATATTTAACAAATAAGTTTCTTCAGGAATTAAAATGACAAAAACAGTTCCTATTTTACACAATTTGAAAGGTAAATTTACTGCTATCAGGATACAGCCCTTGCTCTTCCCTAAGTGAATATATTGTAATTTTAGGCCATACAAAAGTGAAAGGACATTAATATGCGTTTACATCTGTCTCATATTAATATTCATGCCTGAATCCACTTCCCCACACAAAGCCAATTTTCTGGCCATCTGGGTTATGGCTGGTGGAAGTGATGAATACATTTTATTTGTGAGGCAGTGATAAATCATGAATTCACTTCCCTTTCTCTAAGGTATTCAAGGTTTTTCACTGCGATTTGGAGATATTTTGAGGAAAACAAAAGTTTTCTGAGGTTGAGAAAGAGTAAGCTTAAATCTAGATTTACTGTAAGTCAAAAAAGGGGATACGTTTGCTTTAACTTTTCACGAGGTGTTTTGTTTTTAGTTGTTACTATTCCATATTTAAATAATCAATTAACTGTTATGATATTATACTCATATATTTGTTTATTTTGGGAAATAGGTAGTTTGTGTATGGGTTGAATGAGTGAACAGACTAATTTCATCTGCACTTTATTACATTAGATTTAAAAACTGAAAAACTTATCAACAGATTCCTTTTACATGCAACTTTATATGCTTTAAAGAAATTATTTGAAATGCATCTCTAAATATCTTGTGCTTGTCCAGTTGTCTTGTAGTTCCCTAAATTGTAGTACAATGTATACAAGGTGCCAAAAGCTCACAAGTATGTTGTTTTTGAGACTGAATACTTTCTCATATAACAGACTAGTCTCCCTGTACTAGTGACATCCTGGGAAGGTCAAATTCATGTGATTATAGGTGGCTGTGTTACATCCTTGTGCTTCTCAATTTGGCAATTGTCTTATTGTAATAGCACCAGCCTCAGCGGACATGCAGCTCCATATGGACAACTCCAGCTCCATACTTGAACAGATAGAAGGCACTTCAGATACAAGTGAGAGTAAGCATTGTTGTTTACAGCAAATAAGTAAAAGGTAGAGTGAAAATATAAAAGCCTTTCTTCTGACGTCTCAGGTAGACAATTTATAAAGATCCAAGTGGGATTCCTGGAATATTATTTTGCCATAGGTTTTAATGAAAAGTACATTAAAATATAATAACCAGAAAAAGAAATATACCAACCATTCAACATGCTACAGTTAATTGCCTCTACAGTTGTGGTTTTGTCTTTATAGATAGCTTAATAAGTAGGACTAGTGTCTTTTATTGAATTAATTGAGGTCAGCTGGGATTGTGATGTTTGTTCACCTTTTGTTTTGTTTTTTTCTATTACATTTTTTACAGAGCGTTAATGAAACAGACTCGTCTGATTTACATGCAAAGTTTTTTTTTTTTTTCCCAAAACATGCTAAATACATTAATATTGCATATTGGCCGTTCCCTATATGACAAGCATTCCCTCTTTAATTCATCACCTCATTATCTCCACACTTGAATACAACACACTGTATGTCAACTTTAAAGCATTTAATGAGGGAAAAAAACACCCAGTCAGAAACATGTGTTCAGGGATGATTACTGAAAAGTTAGGCTCAAGGAGATTTTTGGCTTAACCTTCTTGTGACTCAGGGCCAACCACCTGGCTGTAGGATTAGGAAGTAAGGACCCCATACAGAGAGAGAAATGAACCCAGGGGTAGCTGCTTAGGGGAGATGGGAAAGAGACATAAAAGAAGAAAAATGAACGTGAGGAATTGAGAGGGGCCTGGGATAGTATGTCTAGTGTTTCATGAAGTGAAGGAATTCAAACCCCTCCCAAACCTTAGTTCAAAACAAATAGTGGAATACATATTTAAGGTTAAAACGATTCCCTCCATAGATCTTCATTTTCACTCAAACGAAACGTTACAAGTGCTGTAAAATAGACCCAGAACAAATAGATGCCACAATTTTCGAGTGGAAAGATGATGCCCTTTGGTTTCTTTAAAAAAGTCATATACATTGTATATTTATGGGGAGATTCGCCCTTCCTCGGTTTGTCAGGCTTTGCTATCTATATGGGAGCATTCTTTCTCCCATTCCCACAATAGTTAATATGCTAGTGTTACACTCAATATTTTAAATAGAAATTCCTCAGCTGATCAGATAGGAATTCAGATAAGATTCCTCAACTCCAACACAACTTTTTGCGTCACAGTATGTCTGTAACAGTGTCTTCTGCTGTGTCTTCCAATTCAAGGTTGTGGAGGAGTCAGAAGCTGCCCCGGCAGACGACGGCAGGGTACAGAAACTCCAGCCCATCGCAGTGCAGATTGATGTTAAAGATCTTGTTTTTCTGTTTGAAAAAGAATCAGCAGTGCAAGTTACCTATTAGCAGAAAAAGGCTGAGGCGCGTTCTGAGTCCCCAGATTCTCCAGCAGCAACCTTGCGTCTGAGGCACAGCAGGTTTTGTTCCTCAATCCCAGTGAATAAACAAGGCGATGAAAAACGTGGGAAAGTCGCCTTACTCTGGTGTGCTTTGTAAAGGTCGGGTTGAATAAAAAATAGACCTTTTCCAATTGTAGATAGGATTTGTGTTTACTGTTGGCCATAACATAAAAAGAAAAGTTTTTCGTGACTACATGTTTTGTTTTGAAAGCCCTCAGCAGTTCATTATTGCCAAGGAAATCAGCACCAGACCAAAGTAAACCTCACACAAGCCTGCCTATCAGGTAAACGATTTCGTCTTCAGTGGCAGGACTGCGTGACTCCGGGGACGAGAGACAATCCATACTATTGGCCGTTTTGATAGATTCATGAGTTCGGTCTTCTGTCAAAGTCCCAATTGAGACTAAAGACTTGACCCTTTGGGAGTGGTCAAAACCCTTTATTACTGCTGGAAATAATAAACGTAATTCTGACCAGTTATTGCTGGAAATCAATTATGATTTTAATCAAATACACTCAAGAGACGAAAAAGTCAAACTGAATACTATAATTGTTTTTTTGCATGTTCATTAATTAAACAAGGGATGTACATTTACCTTAAATTGTTTAGGCAATGTGCAAAGTGAATTTCCTCTAAAAGCAACAATTTTATCAGTTCGGTTCAATTGGCATGACTGGTGAAGTACACTCTTGCCAAAGCATATAAATGATCTCTCACTCTTTCACAACAAACAGTATCCTTTTTCAAATCACACAACTGTCTGCATGTCCTTTAAAGGTTTGTTTGCCCGGGGTATAGCTCATTATACAACGTTTGGAGGCTCACACTTATATATACTGTATTTCACATCTACATATTTGCCCGTCTGTGGCTGAAGTACATTTAAGTATGTGGTTTTTTAAATGATTTTCATTATATATTGAAATGTATTGTCCCAGTCATTTTGTGATATTGTAAAGTAAATTTAAAACAGACATAATTTAATAATAAATAATAAACAGAGAGAATTAAAGTCTCTGTAGACAATAACTATCTAACTGCTCCATCCAATTCAAGGTCGCGGGTTTGCTGGAGTCTGCCCCGGCAAGCAATAGGCTCAAAGCAGGGTACACTCTGGACAGGATGCCAGTCTATCGCTGGGCACACACACTCACTCTCACCAGGGTTGATTTTCTCACAAGCCAATTAACCTGCCAGCATGTCTCTGGACTGTGGGAGGAAACCGGAGCACCTGGGCTAAGCCCACGCGAACATGAGGAAAACATGCAGACTCCACACAGACAGCACCCCAGGTCTGGAATTGAGGGCCCCAGTTCTGAGAGCAAAGCAAAACACTGCCAAGTGCCCCCTACTGTACATCTAGATTCATTTTCAGTTCATAAATACAATAAAAATAAAATAATTGCATGAGGTTTATTAACCGTCTTTTCCACTTCTTCGTGAAACAATTCAAGTTGGTTGTGTCCATGCTAGTGAGCCAGAGCTTTATTTCCTGGATTATTTTCCTGGGATTTGCATAAAAGGGTCTGTTCAATCTTTAACTCAGAACCTGCTTTGTAAAACCTGATGGCTTATTATCTACTCCTGTGACTGCATAATAGGACCTATTTTGCTTTTATTTTCTAAAAGACAGGTACATAATTACAGCCATAATTTACAGATTCGCCGCAGATACTGCATTGCTTAATTATATTGAATATAATACTGTAATGAACTGAGTGGGTGTCAAGATTTTGACATCAGCTTGCTAAGCAAGCAAATAATATAGGTTAATAATTTCACCCCTCTAAAATCAGGGATTTACCTAGTCTTATACAGCACATGTCGTTTTATTCTCCAGCACAGTTCTGACAGAGGAGTTAAAATCAGGCACAAGCTTTGACAAAACAAACACATATTTTAACACTAATATACACAACAACACAACATGGTTTACATTGATGTATACAATCAATGCGTTTCAGAGTTCTATTTACTTTAGACTCAGAAAATTCCAGCATTCTGTCCCTATAATCTAAAAGCACCACAGAGCATCCTAATAGGCCAAAGAAAGCAAACATACTAAAAAATTGATCCTATCCAGGAATTAAATTTTCCTCCCAGGATCACAGATGCCCACAACAGAATGGGAACCAATTCCAGTATTTTAACACTACGTCACTAAAATAAGAGATATGTTTTTAGTCTGAGGATTCCACAATATACCGTAAGAAATCGGAATTCCCTAAAATAAACAAGATAGCATGTTCTCTTGTCATAATTCTCGGAGCTCAGTGCTCTTCAACGTGCTCAGACTACCTGATCACAAAGTCTGGTCAGAAAAAGGAGCTCTCCCACTCACAGCTTTGGAGATGATGGATGATGATGCATGATGCTCTCCATACTTTCTTTTCTTCTCCTACCTTTGCCCTTTTGTCTTCATTTTGACCTGGTGTTTATGCTTTGGTCCATTTCTATGGAGACTGGCTTATTGACCTCACTACGTATTGCCTGTTCACTGTTTTATTTGTTTTTCCATGACTGATAGCATATTTTGTTTTCTCACTAAAGTTTTCGGTACATCCTAGCAATTGATGTCAAGGAAGACTCAGTCAGTTCTTCATTAAATTCTATCGACCTGTTTTTTCCTCCAGATATTGTGAAAATGTCATAAAAAGCTGGCAGTTTAAGTTGGTGGGCTGGTGGGTGGCTAGTAATGATAACAGAGCTATGTACATATAGTTAATGTAAACAAAGCCATCCACATTTAGCTGTGAATTACTAAAGCTACTGATAGCTGTGGAGAAATCTTAGAAATACCTATATTTATTGATACGCTTTGTCCTATTAATGGGACCCCTCATCCTGGGTTGAAATGGCTAAAGAAAGCATAAAGGTTGCTCAGCTGAGGGCTTCTCTATTGGCATAACTATTATTAATTTAACTGGCTGATACATTTATCCAAAGGTTGCAACCATTTACAAAGCTGAGTATTTTACTGGAGTTATTAAAGTGAAGTGCCTCCCTCAAGTTTATAATATCTGTCATAAGAGAAATTCGAACCCACAATGTTTACATTACAAGTCCTGAAAACCCAACCACTGCTCCACACTGCTGCTCAACACACCCACTTGAGTGGAGACCAGATGGCAATTTTGAGCCTGGACTTTCCCTCGCCAGTCCATGTCACCAAAGACATCTTTAAAAAACAGACTCTAGGAAATGGAGAAAGAAAAATACAGCAGGAAAGGAGAAAGTGATACTGTAAATTAGGAGTGAACTACAGTACATACAGCTTTACAATCCATGTTCACTTGGTTTTCTCCTAAGGTATACCTCTCTCAGGTATTGGGGAAAGCAGCTTTATTTTTCAGGCCCTACCCCGGATTATTTTCATGAAAGCAGTGTGACGTGGTTTTGTAAAGACATACCACCACTTCTGACTTCATTAAGGTCGTTAGAGGTAGGGAACTAGTGGAAAAGTTTGAAGATAAGGAGATAGATTCTGAAACTCCCTCAGATTTTAAGTATAAGCTTATCAGAATTAGTTTGTGCGCTTTTTTTTTTGTGAGATACTTGTCTCTTTAACTATTTCCCTGACTAGTGGGGATGGTATGTTTCTTAACCTTATATTCAAGCTGGTGTTAGGATTGTGTCACGCCCTCCACTAATCGGAAACGCCCTCCTCCTAATTCCACTTCAGTCCCAGGTAATTCCAGAAAACGCCGTCACTCCAACTAATTAACCAAATACAACACTGCCCTTATCACCTAACCTAAGACTTAAACGCTCCCTTCTCATCTCTCCTGGCCCGTCTTCCTTCCTGAGCTCCTTACCTCGCCGTCAGTTCGTTTCCTGTCGGATCCCTCGGTTCTGGATCACGGACTTTGACCTCGTCTTTGTCTCGCCCTTTGGATAACTGCCTAACCAACTACTGTATCTCTCAGTTTTGGATAGGGACTTTGACCTGGATCTCTCCCTTGCCTCACCCACTGACTTTCTGCCTAACTCGTACGGAGTGACAGCACTGCACAGGGTCCTTCTCTTCAGTCAGCCTACTGTGCATAAGCATTTAAAATGTTACCAAATGTGTAACTTGTTTATTACCAGTACCAGTACAGGCCACATTCACATAAATTGAGAGCAACACTGAAATTACCATCTTGTAGTCTGATCTGGTCAGATCTCAGAATTAATTCTACATAATCATGCAAGATAAATAATCCTAAATAATCTGAAAATGTAATGATACTTAATATAAATCTCTAATAATAATTAATTGCATGTATATTCAAAACATAAATTAAATGAAGATACAGTACATAGACTATTTTAAATCAGTAAATTGCATTACATTGTTTGTAAAAGTATTGTAGGTCTTATTGTTTACCTCAAAGCACTGTGCTAGTCTCCCAAAGTAATTGATTAAGATGTTTTTTATATGGGCAAAAACGGAATACAGAATATGGCCCACACTGTACCAGGCTCTATTTCTGAGTTAGAGTTAGCCAGAAAAGCTCAACAGTCTCCCAGCATTCTCATCTCATTAATTTATGCTCTAAATATATTTATGGCTTTGCCTGAGGTGTTCTCCCAGGACAAAAGGGTCTACCTGAATCTACATCCCACTCTAGTGGTTAATTTTTTTCATTACCATACTGTTTCTCTGAGGACGTCCTGAGAGAATGAGCTTTTAGCATTTCAAACATATTCAGCCCTGGTAAATGTCTGTTGGGGCTGGGGGACTGCGCACAATGACAAGTGCACCAGACGGAGGAGGAAGACCCAGGTGGCTAGGTAAGACACTAATGCTAATGACACAAAGGTGCTATGTTCTGGCGGCTGTGTTGTGAACCTATTATAAGTTCTCATTTATTAGATGTTTTAATTCACTGAAAAGCTTTTAAGTGGCATGATGGGTTCGTAATTTTACAATAGTAACTGAAGGCCTCTTACATAAAAAGTAAAACACTTTCTCAAACAGAACACAGAAAGAAAAATCACTTTAATGCTGTACAAATTATCACCCTAAAAAATGACTTGACACAAATGTCACTATGCAACAGAGCCCAGGATGAAAT